CTTGTGTTCCCCATTTTGAAATCCACATCTTTCTATAATTAGGCATTGGCACTGCACATATTTCATTGTATTAGGTTGATGTGGCTAAATAAGGTGGTTTCACATATTTTGCATTCATTTCTATCTTTTTTTAATGAAAAACTTCATTAATGTCTACATGTACTCCTTTTGATTTATTTGCAGGTTTAACATGCATTCTTAAATCCGAAATTTGGAATGATAGACATAATCTCACTTACAGCAACTTCATTGACAATGAAAAGTAATTTACTATTTAACTAATTTTTGCCTTCTCATAAATATGCCGCTGCTTTATGATCTCAAGGCTTTCAAGTACACCATTGATTTGTTTCTCGAGAGGTATAAAGTAATAAAGACACAGATATTATCGTTTGACCATCATTAATTATCACAAACATAAATCTCGAGTGTGATGAATTGTGCGTTAAAAGATGTAGTTTTATGCGTTTGCCACCTCGAATAATATTGTTTTTGTGGGTGTGGGTGTGGGTGTGGGCGTCATTAATTGTATAGTCTCTAATTAATGTTGTTCTAAGATAAATTAGGGCTTCTAGGTTTTTGTAGGTCTAACAGGACTGAAGATAAGATAGTGGTGTACGATAGTTTTACTTTGTAGTGGAGTTGTTCAAGGTTTACCGGCAATTGACATCCTTGGCTATGTTACTACTGCAGTAAGGTGTTATAACTAAGCACTTGGTATCCTTTGTGTGGTTTCTATTGGTTTATAGGTGGGTCTTGCTTTCCCTATTTCACCTATTGCATTGAATTCCACATCTTCTATAATTAGTCATTGGCACTGCACATATTTTCTTGATTTTTTTCCTTGGGTTATGTACAATCTTCTAGCAAATTATCTACTAATGACTCGGGTTGGTTTTTCAATGTATTCAAGGATTGTCAAGTCTTCCGATCCCTTCACTGGCATATGAGTTATAAATATGAAGCATTTTGAATGGTATTTTCGGCAATGTGGATTGATGTCATTATAATAATAAGGTTCGACATTGTTTTGACGACTTTTCAAGTAGTATTCCGAACGAAATGGTGGTGAGCACAAGGGCCACCATTTTTGGATGTCTTCTTGACAGTGTAGACAAACCATGTATGTGAAGGTGGTGATAAGTATGGTGGCGGAAGACTTATAGATATCCTACCATGATTATTTAAACAGAAAAAGAAATGAGGTGGAGGTGGAGGCGGAGGTGTTAAATGGTAGCGATTTTTTGGGCATAGGGAAGGCATGCTCAGTGTAATTTTAGATGACAAGGTATTTTTTCCACTTTCTTTTTTTTTTATATTTTTCTTTGTAATTGGTTTTGAGCAAATCTCCTATTTGTAACCCTATTATAAGGGTAAGGTTGTACTTCCCCCGGTTTCTTTGGAAGTATTTTTATTAATAAATTTCACCTCACTAAGATGAGGGTTTTTTTAGGATTTACTTTTTTATAGAAACTTTTAGGGTGCGATAAGAAAGTATATAAATTGTTAATATAGATTTCCGTTTTCATAAGATCTTATTTTTAGAGAAAATTATGTTGAAATGTTTTGAATTTATTAGGTCAAAAAACTTATTGGGCCTCCTAAACGGAATATTTGTATTATTAGGTCGACTTTTTTTATTACGTCGTGCCTTCAGACACGAGCATTAGCTAATATACTAAGGGGTTGTTTGATATGTGGGTTTAGGGGGGGAGAGTTTGGAAACATGGGTTGGGGAGTAAATCCCCTTAAACCCATGTTTGACAACTATGAAGAACGGAAAGGATTTCAAACTCGGCCCAGTCATGTCCCGTCATGAAACCCACATACTTGGGTTTCATGAAACCCAAGGAGGGTGGGTTTTATTTGTGGGTTTAAGGGTTTAACATGCAAATAACATTTATATCCTTATATATCATATATACTTCATATATACAAATTGATTATGGGGCACAATAATTATTCATATATAAATATATTATTATTATAGTCATATATTCTTGCACATATCAAATATAGATATAGACAATATTAAATATTGAATCTCATCTTTAAATCTCAACTTTGAATCAAACTCAAATTTAAACAATTCAATCCAAAATCCACTCAAAAAAACAAACCAAACAGGCCTAAATGTTTGGCATCAATATTGGTCATCTTCACATGTGAAGAAGCCTCTTACAACATTTCGTAAGAAAGAAGTAATCTGAGCTACCCAAGTACGTACGTACGTACCTAAACCATGTGAACGATGCTCCTTACGTTTAACTGTTTTTCACGCGGCAAATGGCTTCATTTGTCAACAACCTTTGCGTAATGGGACATCATATTTTACGCCTCACATCACATGCAAGAGATGACTTGTGCCACCGTCGATTCCCCCCGGCTGCTTCTGCTTCTTTAAAAACATCACCATTTACGAAGACATTCGTCTTATTTGTTTGGCTCTAGCTCAAGATCAAATGGACTTGTTTGGTTGCCGTATTAAAATTAAATAGATTAAATAAAATAATACAGTCTAATATAATACAATTAAATTAAAAACAAAATTAAATATGATGTTAGAATAATACGTAATTTTATCTAATATTTGACAATACAACAATATACGTGTTGGATAGTAATTATTTAATCCAATTGATTGTTTAATTAAAAAATTATTTCATCGTATTAATGTTGAATTAACAAAAATACCCTCAATCAGTATTTGTTACATTGATGACAACTTGAATTTATCACTTTTAGGATTATAATAGTAATTGTGTAGAATAATACGTTTAAGTTAGATTATAATACCACTTCTTTTTGTGGTATTAAAAAATTTCATAATACAGGTTTATCGTATAAAAAATGTAAGATAAGTATACGTTTTTAAAATTAATACGGTATCAAATTTGTTTATCAGACAAAATATTAGGTCCGATTAAATAAAAAATAATACAATTCAGTTTTGCATGGTCTAATTTTTTTATTTATTTTTATTTTGCAAAAAGGGTGGGCCACAATTCACTAAAAATATCAAAAAAAAATAAATAATATATATATATATATATATATATATATATATATATATATATATATATATATATATATATATATATATATATATATATATATATATATATATATATAGTTACCAAAAAATGTATAGATTTCCCCTCGACCCTTAGTGCCTCCGCCCATGTTCTTCATCCAGATACTCGGCGTAATAACCGGCAACTCATGTGCTTTACTCCACCCTTCTCTCTATATATCACCATCCATTTACTCTCTCTCTCTGAGTATACTTTCTTTTCTTTCATCAATCTCTGCAGTGCTAGAATGGGGAATTGCTTGATGACCAAAAAAATTCTAGCACAAGATGAAGAAGATGAGGCCCAAAGGTGTGCAGAAGTGATGGAAGGGACGAAATCGGCAACGTCATCGACGTTAGGAGCAGTACGGCCAATCGGTGGTGGTAAGGCAAAGACGGTAAGGTTCAGAACACTGGAAGGAGACGCGGACGACAGAGAAAGATGCGGTAAAACAAAAGGTGGGGTTTTGAGGATCAGACTTGTGGTGACCCAAAACGAATTGTGTCATATTTTGAACACCGAGTCGAAGTATACTTCTGTGGAGCAATTGTTGGGTGCAATGAAGCTGAGTAGTAGTAGAAGAGTCTCTCATCAAGGTAGAACAAGTGATGAAGGGATGAGCAGCACTTGGAAGCCAGCTCTAGAAAGCATCCCAGAGGACCGTTAATGGCTAGCTCTCTTTCTCTCTCTCCAGATCACAGTACATCGTTTTAAGTTGGTACTAGTGCGAAGGTTAGAAGAAGCGTTCTCCTTTACTTTGTGAAGCTATTCAAGTTCTTTTGTTGTCTACTCCTACGCATTGTAACATCATCATCATCCCTACAGTAGCAAGCTGGTCCTATCATTTAATATCACTATCAGATTCGGATATGATCCGTCCAATTTTTTCAATTTTCTTGAATGGTATATCAGTCGTGTCGTAAATTCGAATGAGATCCACTTTATTTAAATTGATTCAACCAACACGATGGGTGATCCAACATTGATAGAAACCAAAATGTAAATCGGTGGCATTGGCAACTTACCGTTTGCTCATTCACGGTTTAAGTTGAAAAAGCAAACTATGTCACGGTAGGAGTGCAATTTGAACAGATCAACTTGAATTCAGCCTAAAAAAAAATAGGGTTTGAGTTGGATTTGAGTTGAAAAACTTCAACCTAAATTGAATTCAATTTTTTATTAAATTTAAGTTGATCAAACTATTACATCATGCTCTCAATTGAACCCAAATTATGAGTCTGAATTAGTTAATTTGAACCAATTCAAATTGAGCCCGAAATTAATTTTACCAATACTCGGATTGAGTACCTCAAATTGAAAGTTAGGCTTGAATTGAATTAGAATTGAAAGCTTTTCAATTTCGCTTAGGCCTAAATTGATCCTCTAACTCGCTAAATCTACCCAACCCCTTGAGTTGCACCCCTAAATGGTTTAAACAGATGGAGGATAATCCCTTCACTATACTGTCTATTAATGAAAAATTATGTAATTTACGACAGAGAAAAAATATATTCGATGAGATTTGCATACTATAAAGCTATGACATTTTCATGCCACTGAAAACACCATGGCAGACGAATTTTAGGGTCTGTCTGGATTTGTTCTAAAAAACCAGTATCCAAAATCATATTTTCAAGAAGAGTTTTAGGAAAGTAGATTTTGATTTTTGTGTATCCCAAAACATGTTTGGTTATATGATTTTGAAAATAGTTTTAAAAGATAATAAAACATGTTTGGACAATGATCAAAAAATAATAAAAATATAGAATGTAATTTGAATTAACTCTGACAAAAATCTTTTAAAAAAGAGCACAACAATAAGGGCCGGGGGTGAGGTGTGCTACCATGGTTTTCTTTCTCAATCGATATTATACATGTAAACAAACAAAATTTACCCAAAGAACTCTTAACTTTACCTTACCTTTACATTACCTGATGCTAGAAACTAACCCACAAAATTCACACAAAAAAAAAAAAAAAGAAAAAGAAAACCTACAGATAAATGACTAGTGTTGAATGCCCATAGACACATCTCAGACAGCCAAAAGTTAACTTCAAAAATTAAAGATGCAGCAAAATGACATCCTTCCTCTCATTGCGAAGAACAACAAAACAAAGCCAAGAACACAGATTCCAAAAATATAGTCTGTATAGGACTAGAACTAATGAGAAAACCAACCTCAAAAAAATATGCAAAATCAATCTACGAGAAAACACAAAGCACATGAAAAGAACATTATTACATGAAAAGAACATTATTGCAAGCGCTTATTAGAAGCCGATCATATCTCTCCTCACTGACTTATGCCACTTGAAGGGTTAAAGCTTCAAGCAAAATTGGGAGGTTTGAAAGAATCAATCAGACTTACTTGGAAGTAAAGTGACAGACACAACTCTGAGAACAATGATTTGTTTAAATACACAGTTAATTGCATATCGTGCTTTTAATTTTTTTTCAAAATTGAATCTCAAAACTGACAAAAATATGTTAATAGTGTTCTTTGAAATTCCAACTTTTTATTCCCATATTTTGAAAAACTGAACACAAAATTCTACCGTCCAAACAACTTCTTTTCTGTTTTTTTATATTCGAAAATAGAAAAACTGTTTCGCATTTACTGTTTTACAAATGCAAAACAGTTTGATCCTCATTTTCACAGCTCACAGAAGATTTGATTTACAACATAATTAAAACTTAGGAAACAGAATTTCTCAATTGAATAAACAGATTCTATGCTAAACACGTCTATGTTTAACATTTTATGTAAGCCTACAAACATAATAACAATTAAGACTGAGAATTTTCTTACTTTAAACATCCACCATCCGCTACCTTATATGCGAAAATAATAATGTCGCATTTTTACTCGCTCATGGGATAAATCTTCAGTTGTCCAAGGATAAAAAGTCACATAGTAAAGCAGGTATTACAAAAAATTGTTGTTCCGTTTGTTGCGAGGAAAGAAATCTCAATATTCCTGTCCCTTACAAGGGGTATTAATATTGTGGAAACTTTTATTCTCCTTTCAAGTTTTACAATTTGAAAAGCTCAAATGGAATGAGGCCCGAGCCACTCACTGTGTAATCAGCTGGCGAATAACGTATGGAAGAATGCCACCATTATTGAAATAAGCCAACTCCACCTGAAAAAGAAATTGAAGTGTTAACCCAAACCTCATGCTTGCAATGTTAGTTCTGATTGACAATAAAACAATACACCAACTCCATGACACAAATGCAGTTGTAATAGGCTGTGTGGTGGTTGAAACTCATGCTGCTATGCATCAACATTCCTTTTTGACAATACTACTCCCAACCCCAAACCCCACCCCACCCCACCCCCAAAAAAAAAAAAAATCAAAAGAAGGAGCCCACAGCAACACAAAAAGGGCTTAAACTCTAATCACTTTAAAGTTGAACCTTCTGTTTTCATTACATCAAAGGAAGTCAGGTTCCCATTTAGGCATGCGGAACACCTAATTGAACTATCTATGGTATTTTTTGTTAAGGCCCTCCATAAGCAACCTTGGTCGAACAATTTTTCCAACCAGCCATTGCAAACTTATTCATACAATGCACCAGCAAGTTGGTTTTTTCCCCAAGCAGAACGATCTATTACCTACATTAGGTCCTACATAATAAATCTTAGCCAGATGACTTGCACACCATCAGGCAAACCAGGCAGCAAAGTCATAGTTACGTAGCTGCCTTCAAATTGGCTTATTTTATTCTACATGGCACAATTTAGCTTGGACATATGACATAGTTGTTACAGCGCAAATTACTTATACATAGCTTGAAAAAAATTGTTTTAATCTTAGATTCAGAATCTTCATTCATCATCTATTACTGTTGAGAAATGCAGCCAACTCGTCTTGTTTTAAAAAGAGTGATCACCAGTAGACAGATGAAAGAGTCCCCCGGAAATTAGGTGGTGGCCTTTCACAAATTAGAAGAAGCAGACAATATGACGCATGCATTTATTAACGTCAAGCTGTCCATTTCAATATTCATTTCCTTTGTTTTGCAGTACATTTACTTTAACATTTTCTGTAACTACTAAAAAAAACAGAGATGCAATCCAAGCACTTCACACTCTGTGCGTGCGTGCGTGCGTGCGTGCGTGCGTGCGTGTGTGAGAGAGAGAGAGAGAGACTCCAGTAGACATTTTACACGAATACATAACAATTTGTCATTCCATAAATTTCTGAAAACAATTACCTACATTGTCTGAAAATATTATTATCTAATCAGAGGCTAGTTGTGGTTTGGCTGCCTTACTAAACATTGGTCGTTACTCCAAGTAATGATTTTTACCACAAAAACTGAGCCACATTAATTTTGGAGAATCAAGAACTTGTCAATTAAACTAAACATCAAATCTCTCCTTCCTAGTGTATACCATGCCACGTCCTTTTTACTATAAGAATTACATGCCATGTGGTCTCAAACACAAAAAAGTAATACAAAAACCTAGAGATAAGGAAGTTAGGGCTACCTCGGTGTCAAAGCGGGCGGTGCAAGTGAAAGATTTTCCAGAGTCGGTGTTGACGGTGACATCTTGGCCAGGCCGGATCTCACTAATTTTGCTTGGGAGGTCAATGGTATATCGCTCATGACCCGTCAATCCTAGTGTGTCCGCATCCTCACCGGACTTGAAACAAAGTGGAATAATACCCATTCCTACCAAATTACTGCGATGAATCCTTTCAAAGCTTTTTGAGATCACCGCTTTAACTCCCTGTTACATATCAATAGTTATTAACAGTGATAAGATGAGACAAAGTAATAGCAACAGGGAAGAGAGAATTTCTTCAACCAGCCATATACTAAGGCTCACCAATAACATTGGGCCCTTGGCAGCCCAGTCTCGAGAGCTTCCACTTCCATACTCTGCTCCAGCCAAGATAATAGTTTCCTGCCCAGCAGCCTTGTACCTCTGAAAGAAGTAGGTTGGTCACAAAGAATTAGGGATGAATAACAATTAGTGGCATGATGACATCCTGCCATTACTGATGTGTTTGGAATTAATAACTCAAAAGAAAATGATTTCAGAACAAGAATACATTTCAAGCAGTACAGAATCACAAAGGCATGATGGAAAATATCAAAAAATTTAAGGGAACTTACCATTGCAGCATCAAAGACATAGAGTTTCTCCCCTGTGGGAATGTGAACTGTCTTTGCGCCTACTTCCCCATTTAATAGCTTGTTAACAAGCCGGATGTTGGCAAAAGTTCCCCTTGCCATCACTTCATCATTGCCACGACGGCTGCCATAGGAATTGAAGTCCTTGCGATCCACACCACGCTCAAGAAGGTACTTCGCAGCTGGACTATCTTTATGAATGCTTCCTGCTGGGGAGATGTGATCTGTTGTAATACTGTCACCAAAGTTCAGCAAGCAATAGGCATCCTTCACTCCATGGGATCCAGGAGGATCCATGGTCATGCCCTTGAAATATGGTGGCTCGTGAATGTATGTAGATTCGTGGTCCCATGAGTACAGCTTGGAAGCTGGGATTGATAGTTGATTCCACATGGTATTACCCTTCGTGATAGCCTCATAAGTACTCTTGAACATATCAGGCAATACACTGGATTGAACAACCTAGAATGAATTCCACCCAAGTTAATTTATTCTATACTTTAACAACTGTATCAAATGAAAAGCAAGCCTAAGATTGCATACCTCAGCAATTTCTTCAGTAGATGGCCAGATATCCCTAAAATAGACATTCTTACCATCCTTTCCTACTCCAATTGGCTCCTTCTCAAAATCAATGTCAACCTGCAAAATTATTTCAATACGCCTTGAGCTTAGGTCATGAGCCACAAAACCAATAATGAATTAGAAATAACAAAACACTTGGTCGAGGCCTTATTCAGTATACAAGTGAGTTTGAAGTTTAGATGCTTTTTTCCAGGATGGGTGGGGTGAAATTATAACAACCTAACCCAATCTATGTGCATGACACTCATTGTACCTCTAACAAAAAGATTAACTACTCACATAGCATACCCACTGCAAAATTCTTCATGGACTTAAGACGTGAATAAGGACTTGCACTACAATATATTTACTCACCCAAACTCAACACTCAACCTTAACTGTCATATGTGAGTATCGTTCAAATGATATTACAGGATATACAATATCCTAGGACATAAATATAAAAAATAGATTTATTAATGAAAAGACCAGCCCTGCTGCATGGAGTTTATATGTGTAACACGGCATGTCCCTTAATCTCGTATAACATGCTCAGTTTGTCATCTTCTACTTCAATTTCCTTCATTTACATCCTATTTCTTTCCCTACTGGAAAAGCAATTCTACATTTTCACCACAGCATGTACTTAACATACAATTCACCCTCTGCCTTATCTTAAGCCTCCCTAAGCACCTATTCAGCTTCCTTGTTGCATATTTATTTGTGACAGGATCTTTTTGCACAAATGATGTTTGAATCCCTCTGAGTCCCACCACCAAGTTTCTTTAAGTTATAGCCTGCTACCCTTCAATCCAAGAACCCATTTTACCATTTTTAATGACATTCAGCCATTGCACAAAGGTGTAAATGCTCATTCAATTTGAATAATAATTTCAGAAATAATGCTTTTGTCCCTTCAAGTTCCACCATTTGCTTCTCAGATGTTTACCATACCTAGCCTTTCTTAGTCATCTAGTAGTACATACATCTAGCACATCTATTGTGTGGTTAGAGACCTTTACTATAGTTACTTTACAACCCTTGCAACTTCCTCTTTTGAAATTCCAAGTATTTTTGGCTGACCAAGGGGGAGAGGAGGATCCATATTGACTAATATTTGTTTCCCTCTAGATCATTGCTGTTCTCAAGTTGCCTTTTCATAATATCATGGTGAATCAATTTCTCAAAACAGATAACATAGTAACAAAGCCACTCTTAATCAATTTACCGTGCCAGCAAGGGCATAGGCAACAACTAAAGGAGGTGAAGCAAGGTAGTTTGCTCTTGTCAAGGCATGAACACGACCCTCAAAGTTCCGGTTCCCAGAAAGAACAGCAGCTGCAACAATGTCTGCAGAGAAGACCAAAAAATCAATTTGGTGGTCATGAAAAAGAGAAATCAAAAACCAAACAAACCCACAGCTCAATTTTATGAACTGTAGAGACTTAAGAAACAAGGCAGGGACAATACCATTTTCTGTTATTGCAGAAGCAACTGTTTCATCTAAATCCCCAGAATTTCCAATACAGGTTGTGCAGCCATATCCAACAATATGAAAGCCTTGCTCATTCAAATACTTTTGCAGCCCACTGCATCAATACAAGTACCCATTTTTTGTTAATAATTAGGGAACAGATATCACTGGACTATTTGAGTGTTCAATGTAACTTTTTCCCTTTAAATACTACAAAAATACCTCTGGAGTAAATATTTTGTAACAACACCAGATCCTGGAGCGAGACTAGTTTTAATCCATGGTTTAACCTGGAAAATTTATAAATAAAAAGTAACAATTTAGAAGAAATATTGAAGCCCTTAAACATGATATTCACACAAGAGGATCAACTAATCAAATTAGACCATGAAAAACTATAGAAATGAAAGTAAGATATCTAATAAGAAATATAAGTCACTAGACTATGACTGACCTGTAGACCCAATTCGCATGCCTTTTTGGCAACAAGGGCTGCACCAAGCATAACACTAGGGTTTGATGTATTTGTGCAGCTTGTGATAGCAGCAATCACGACACTACCATGCTTTAGCTCCGCTGGATTTCCATGGAATGAGAATTTTGCCACTTTTTCTTGGGTATCCTTTGGTACAGCAAAGCCCTGCATCAGAGTCAGACTTTTAGAAAAACAGGGAACCATATGATATTTTAATAGACTGAATGGAATCATAGCCAAACCATAACTCTAATTCAAGATTTTAATTGAACTATTCTTATTATTGGTCTATGAGATAGCGTATCTTTGAATTAACCTCAACAATTTACCAATATACATAAAACAATTTAATGAAGGACTTATTTGCGTCCATCACCAAAAAAAAAAATGAAACTGAACAGATAAATTAATCAGGCAAAAACACAATTATCGAATTCAAAACTCAAAAAAGTTTAAAACTCACCTTAAATCCCACTTTGTTATCAAGGCAAGAATGCCAATCAGCTTTCATTTCTTTCAAAGGAACACGGTCATGAGGTCTGTCAAGAATAAATTTATAGGTAAATAAAATTGAAGACGTACTGAAAAATATACCACCGATGTCAATGTATGATAGTTTGAGTAAGCACAAAATACATACCTCTTAGGCCCTGAAACACAGGGCTCAACGTCTGCAAGGTCTAGATTTAAGTAGGATGAGTACACCCTTTCTTGTTGAGGCTAGAAATTCACAAAATAAAGGTATGCATCTCAGACTCAAACTGGAAACTGGAATGAAAACTCAACAATGGCATTTAGAAATTGTAAAAGAGTACCACCTCTTTATAGTCAACAAACATCTTATTTGCCCGCAGATATGCTTCTATCATTGCCACCTGAAAAGAAGAAGTTACAATACATGGGTAACAATAGGCAACGGATATTTTATCATCATATTAACACACAAGAACTACTTACAGTCTCATCACTTCTTCCAGTTAATTTGAGATATTGCAAAGTAACATGATCTACAGGGAAAAACCCCATCGTTGCACCATACTCAGGAGACATGTTGGCAATGGTGGCCCTGTCAGCTAATGATAGTTCACCCATACCATCCCCTATGCACAGAAACAAGTTAAACCATTAGCGCTTCCTTGGACAGAACCATGGGAGTTGAATTACTGCAAGTAAGGCTTTAGTTACCATAGAACTCGACAAATTTGCCAACAACACCGTGCTTCCTAAGAATTTGTGTGACAGTTAAGACCAAGTCAGTTGCCGTGACACCATTGCGTAATTCTCCAGATAACTTGAACCCAACAACACCAGGCAACACCATGCTCATTGGCTTCAAGTCAGAAAATATAGCATTAGAAACAAAAATATAATGCAGCAGACTCTTCAACAGCATTCTTTTTCAAGCATCAAGACGAAGTTGATGCAAGATAGATTTAAATTAGGCCATTACATGTGTGTTAGGGGTGCTCACACAACTATGTAAGGCTATAATAAATAAGTCTCAATTTTTTTCCCCCAGGGAAGCAAGTGTAAATTAAGCAGAGGGTTAGAATGCAAAAGCATAAAACACCTGAGCTTATAGATCCTCATCCTACTAAAAAGTAAACACACATTTCTGAGGATGCATGAGATTTTCAAGACAAGAATCAACGTCAACATACATGCCAATAAAGGAAGAAAATCAGTATATGAAACCTGATATACATAGACAACGTGTTGATGGTGGGATAACCCGTGTTAAAAAGAACTGATTGGAGGAAACGTCACCAAACATAATCCCAACACAAAATCTCTCCCCATGCTGCCTGTGACCTAATAATTACTTTATCATGTATGCCAATTCAAGCTATGGAACATGAAATAGCACCAAGTAGTTCATGCCTTGTAAAATGAACATCATGAATTTGGAACATCTAACCCAGAAAGATTAGTTCCCCCATCCCTCACCCCATCATGCATGACATGGGGAAATAACACAAGCAAAACAACCATCCTTCTGCAGTTCTACATGATACTATTGCTAAAATATCACATGATGCAAAATGACTACTGGACATGACTTAGGTATGCACAGTCCAATGATGAGACATAAATTACAAGGCACCAAGAGGTCCAAGGATCTGCTGCATAGTGATGCATTAGCAGGTGTACAGCAGCACCAAGTAAAATAAAATGATCTAGAGCTATCCAAACATAGTCCATATGACTAATGTAAAAGAATTTATGCTGAACACTACAAATTCGTCAAGTTTCAGTTGTGGCAAAGGACAAAGTTTTCCCATGATTCCATGACATTATTTACCTGGCCAAGCATTGCTGCCTCTGCTTCAATTCCTCCAACTCCCCAACCTGCAACCCCTAATCCATCGATCATAGTAGTGTGGGAATCAGTTCCGACCACACTATCTGGGTAGATTACGCCGTCAGTGTTAAAAACGACCCGTCCAAGATATTCAAGATTAACCTGAAATTATATGACCTCAAATTACTCTTGTTTCCTTCATGCCAACCACATTTTATTAATGCAAATAAGAACAAAATTTTGAAACCAAAACTTACTCAATATTTAGTCTTACAACAGAAATTCAAAATTGAAATAAAAAGGGAAGGGCAAAGCCTAAATCACTCTCACTCATACTTGTACGTCAATTGCACTTGACAGATGTGTAATTCTATATGAGTAAGTAAGCTCTGTGAAGTAACCATATAATTCTGCTTTTGAACCCCATACCTGATGCACTATACCAGACCCTGGAGGAACAACAAGCATATTTTGAAAAGCATTAGATCCCCATTTGAGAAAAGCAAATCTCTCCTTGTTTCTCTGAAATTCAAGCTCCATATTGGCTTGCACGGCATTTTCTGACCTTGCCACATCAACTTGGACTGAATGATCTATAACAAGATCTACAGGAACCTGCATCCAGTAGATTGGATTGAATAGAGATAGTAAGAAAATGTAAACACAACAAATCCCAAAATATACTTAATGGTACAGCAACATCTTATTTCAGCAAATTGCATGAAATCTAAAGGCAAGCCCCTTAACATCACTTCTAATCTCTGAAGGGAGGAAGTTAAGGTGTGATGCAAAGGCATTTCACCAATATCTGATTCTAAAAAAAAAAAAACGTCCAATAAAAAACCATACACACCAAAGGATTGATCTTGTTAGAATCACTGCCAAGCTTATTCATGGCATCACGCATACAAGCAAGGTCAACCACAGCTGGTACACCAGTAAAATCCTGGCAAAAAAAAAAAAAAAACAGAGGCTTTAGGTAAAAAGCTTGATAGCTGGGACAACTCTGTGTGCTAGCTCAAGTCAATACCTGCAAGAGAACACGGGCAGGCTTGAAGGGAATTTCAACTTGCTTCGGGGAAGTTTTTTCCCAATCAATAATCTTCTCAACATCTTCCTTAGTGACTTGAAAGTTGTCACAATTACGAATTGCTGATTCAAGAAGGATTCTAATAGAGTATGGAAGCTTATCTGTCACGTATGCAGGAAAAACCAAGGTTTGAAAAGTTACATGCAGTTATTTGGGGCCATACATGGATAAACAAGTTCCAAATGCTGTGCAGACAAATTGACCACATAAGTATGATAGAAATTAACAACAGTTATGGATACTACAAACTTTAGAATGAAATAGATGCATTACCACACCAAAAAAAAAAAAAATTATAGCCAGAAATCAGCTACATAAAGGGAAAAGAAAAGGTAATAACATATCAAATAAGATCTAGAATCAAGTTGAAGGGAATCACAATTACCTATCCTTGGATCATTCAGAGCAGGCAGGCTATAGAATTTTCCGAATTCGCCACCTGCAGGCTTGGGTAGACTGGTAAGGATACCCTTGAAAGCATTCTCAGAAGCTGCACCCATGGAGATATATGATCAGACTTGGAATCTTCTCATTGGTAATCACAACTTCATAATCCTTAGACAAAATGAATGAACAAAAACTAGTCCAATAGAATGGCAGAGCTTTGTATAAATCAAGCATCTGACTCTCAATGACCAAATGCAAAAAATGATTTCTCGGATCAATTTCATTTGCAAAAGAAGCACTAATGTTCCTTTTGGAAGCTGAGAACGTTCAAAAAAAGGAAAGAAAACTCAAGACTGGACTCTAAAATAGTTCCCAATCACTGAACGTGTCAAAGTAACAAAATCTTCCATCAATCGAACGCAATACGCCAAAAAATGGAATTTTCAGTTAGAGTTTTCTTAGTCTGTTTATTTATTTTTGAATTCCAAATCCAAAAGAAATGATCAGACTCTAATCGAAACTCGAAGTGTACCCATAGTAGCGATCTTTCGTTCGAAGCCGTTGATAGCAGGAGGAGCGACAGTCCTGATCTGGGACCTAAGACTCAACGGAGACTTCCAATCGACACCGTGACTCCACCGCGAAACAGAGCACCGTAGGGACCGCAACGCCGAGGAGTATCCTAGAGATCGGCTCTGGTTGAACACAGCCGGTGAGGAATGAGAACCACTTCTAGCGAGAGAAGAAAAAGATGAGGATAGGGAAGACGAAAATCGAGACCGTGAGGCTCTGAGGAGTGAAGAAGTAGCAGACGAACAGGCCGTTATATACATGACGATCGCTCACACATTAACATCCAAAACGACACACGACGATTATGATGATGATGGTGATAAGGATTGGTTGTACAGATAAGAGAGCTCGGTGAATCGATTAACGGCGTCTTCTGTGAGATAGAGGGGCGTGTGGAGAGAGAGAGAGAGAGAGAGACCTAGGGTCGCGTGCCGATTGTGGATGTTCAGAGCTGAAGAATCGTATGCTCTGTGTCTATGGCTGTCTGGCACATGGACTAGGCTTTGGCTTCCTTCCACTGTATAGCGTGTTTTGATTGATTTTTTTACGTTAAAGTTGGAATTTTTTTTTTTTCTATTGACTTTTTTAATATTTTTCCTTTTTTGTGGGGCAATTTAGTTACTGTAATTCCTTATTTTCTGGAGTTTCTTTGCCTCTTTGAAAATGTCAATACAACTTCACTTTTTGTACTTTGCTTTTTCGATTGAGAAAATTATACTTTCTACGCATACAGTCCGTTTTGTAAAAAGAATGAAAATATAGGGGGAATAAAAAATTATGAAGAATAATTTTTTTATCCCTTGAAAAAAGAAGGGTATTTTCCTTCCTCATAGATTGGGATTCCCTAAATTTAAAATTCTTCCAATTTTTATTAATTTTAATTATTAAATTAAGGTCGGATGTTAGTTTAATGGTTATCGTCTTCACTATTAAAGTGTCTAGCTAATGTCTCCTAATACAGCTGCGAAGGGCAATGCTTTGTAAAAATTGGGCACTGAAAGGGAGATTTCAATGGATATTTCAAAAGCACTAAACTAAGGAGGAAACGTCCCAAGCATGGTATGAAAATCATTCCATTAGGCTTCCTTCTGGTGGTTGCTCCACTTCCTTCCTCCTGCAATGAGACAGGTCGCTGACGAAATTATTTCCTAACTTGAAAACAAGAAAGGGGATCTAATGTTTCACCCATTGACGGGTAAAAGTCGATCTTTAAGATTGTGAATTCAAATCTCATTGTCTTCTCCTTGTAATAGTTTTTAATCAAAAAAATCGTTCAATCATCAGCGCGCACATGCCATCTATTGGCAGTTGTAGAACCCGATGATATTAAATCGAAAAAAATAATAATAATAATATAATTGAGAAAATCTGAATTTTAAAATCATGAAAATAATGATGGTAATATTAATAATAGTAGGAGTTGGATGAATGAACTTCTCCTCTGACCTTTATTTTTATATTTAGTGTGGGTCTCCACTGGACCAACGCAATTGTGAAAGGGCAAAATCATGAGAAGTTTCAATGAAATGGTGTTTGCCTCATCTTCGGCACACGCCTGCTGGCTCCTTTTTTTTTTCTTTTTTTTAAAGGGTAAAAATTATAGTTAGTCCTTAAAATTTATTTTTGGTTTTAATTTGGTTATTAAACTTTTAATTATCTTAATTTAGTCTTTTAATTATCAGTTTTATCTTAATTAAGTATGTCTATCAATTGTCATCATTAATTTAAGTAGAGACTAGCCTTAATCTGATCAATTTCAGCATTGATATAACAGTGAAAATGGACAGAAGAATTTAATTGAGATAAAACTGATAATTGAGAGACTAAATTAAGATAATTAAAAATTTTGGGATCAAATTAAAATTACGGGTTAATCTCATTTTACACCTCGAAAGATTGTTCGAATCTCAATTTGTACCCTCAAAAATCAAAAATTTTAATTTACACCTTCAAAGATAGAATTTGTATCAATGTGCACCCCCAAAGATCAAAAATCTCAATTGCAGCCTCAAGATAAAAATTTATATCAATGTGCACCCCAAAGATAAAAAATCTCAATTTACACCCTCAAAGATAGAAATTTGTATCAATGTGCACCTAAAACTAAATTGATAAATTTTACCTAGATCCCCTCATACTTGTCACTTAATCATTTAGATCTCTTCACATTTAGAATATTACTCCTACATCTTATGACATTTGTGCACGTATAACACGTAACCATTTTCATTGATATCTATTAATATAACCGTTAAAAAATATAATTTTATCTTAATAAAAAATTATAATTTCATATTACCCTTTATTTTATGGGTTCAATATATTCTAAGGTTCAAAATTTAGTTTACCATTTGAATGTCTAATAAAATATAAATATTTATATAATATTTTTCATATTACTTTTTATATAATATCTACATTTTATTAGACATTCAAATGGTAAGATTGATTTTCAACTATAGAGTATATTGAATCCACAAAATAAAAGATAATATAAAATTATAATTTTTTATTAAGATAAAATCATATTTTTAACGATATATATAACAGATATCAACGAAAAGTGGTTATGTGTTACACATGCAACGTCATGAGATGTAAGGGGAATATTCTAAATATGAAAGAGTTCAAATGATTAAATGACAAACATGAGGGGATCTATGTATATTTATCAATTTAATTTTAGGTGCACATTGACACAAATTTCTATTTTGAGGGTGCAAATTGAGATTTTTTATCTTTGGGATGCATATTGATACAAATTTTTATTTTGAGGGTACAAATTGAGATTTTTAATTTTTTGGGGGCAAATTAAGATTTGAACAATCTTTTAGGGTACAAAATGAGATTAACCCTAAAATTAAAGTTAAAGTTGAGGGACCAACTACTATTTTTATCTTTTTTTTAAATCTCACTTGATGTGGAATCTTTTAGCCGAAACATCTTGTCTAATAAAAAAATATAATTCCAAACTTCTTGAATATTTAAATTTTATTTATTTTAATTCAATAGGATATAATTTATCTCAAATGTTTTTTATGCTCAAATATTATCTTTTCTTTATGGTCCCTAGTGTCAGATAATCAATTAATACACTCTCCAACGTTAGATGACTCTCTTAATCCCCACCAAATAAAAAAATATAAATATTATATTTAAAATATAAATATTATATCATCAATGTTTAATTTTAAATATTAAAAAGTATCTTTTGACTTGAATTATTTTTTGTTATTATAGTTCCTCCATTCGGGCGAAGCCTACCGTATTGAAAAAAAAATAATATTATATTATTATTTATTATTTTTATAAGTATTTTATCACTATTATAATAACTGTTTTTACTACTGTTATGATAATTATTTTTACCACTATTAAACTACTTACTAATTATTAGACTCCATCTCAAATTATAAAAATTGTAAAATAGATATCATATAATAATAAAAATAATCACAGCAATGATAAAATAACTCATAAAAATAATAAATCATTCACAAAATTATAAAATAATTTATAAAAATTATAAAAACATATTATTAAAATAATAAAATTAAAGAACAGTATACCGAAAAAACAAATTAAATTCGATACCATAGTCAGGTCGCTATTCAAGTTGATGACGACTACTGGTGACAATTTGTTAAGCCAATCCATTACAATAATTTATTGAAATGATTGAGCAATCCGAGGGGAGGGAGAGCCATGTGGCCTAGGGTTGTGTGCCCATTGAAGAATATTGGTTCACAACGACTTCAACTCGGGTTAACAATAATGCATGAGCAATATTACAAAATTAAGCCTCCCAAGTTAGTCGGTTGAGACGGTTTTATATCGGGTAAAATGAATTTTATTAAAAAATATTTTATTTATATTCTTATTATTAATAAAAAAATAACAAAATTTGAATCTAAAAGACAAAAAAAAGTCAGATTTTTTGAGACAAAATATAAACACATTTAACGGATAACGTAATTCCATCATAAAAGATGGTTCAGATATCTCAAAAATTTTGATTTAACAG